TGTATATTTATTAATGCAAAGCAATGCTTTAAAAAAAACACGCGTTATGAATCCAGCCTGGCCTTGTCGTAAATGACGATTCAAGTACAGAAGGCATCATATCATGTTCCCGGAAGGATGGATTTCGCAAGGGAGAACTTTCGTATGACAAGCCTCGGACCTTCTTCGTGAGTCTACAGCAGTCCGACGGATCGCCTGTGTCTTGTACTCTAGTAAGTGATTGATCTTCGAGAAGTTATCGGACTTCGGTCGTGTTGTTAGAGAGGCCGCCATTGCCCGGCGTGTTAACGCGCGTTGTGATTGTCGTCTGTCTAATAAACACGTGTCAGAGCATTAGGTACGACTGTATCAGACATTTTGTTGAAATTGTATCACATTTTGTGCAAATGAAAAATGGTATTAACACTTTTCTCGGCGTTTAAGTAGGTCTGCTCTGTAATATCTGTCACGATTAGTAGTCCGCACGTGTTCTTCTGCAAAGTAACAAAATTATTGTTTGAAATTTTCAACTGAGCTTGGCTGTTTCCCAGTGTTTGAATCCTAGTTTCATTTCTGGATACAAATATTTGTTCCCTTTATGTTTACCTAACGCAGAATAATCCCAATCGTGAATTTCTGCACCTCGTCACGTCGCGTTTAAGCGTTCCTTGTATTTAGTTTTCGCTTTAGAATTATTTTTATTTTCACCTTACGTGTAATTTTCAGAGTTAGGCCCCAACGTGTTTTAAGTCGAAGTGGTTATTGGCCTCGGCTGCGTGATTTACGGTTTTAAAAATTTGGGAAATAAAAATGTTGATTTATTCTGTCTATATTCGACTAAGCTCGGCTGTGGACAACAACCAGTTAAGTGCAATCAGTTCTGCATTAAGTGAGATATCGTGGTTAATCGTAGCATTTGGTTACATTCAAAATGCCCTGAAGTTTCAGTCTTGTCTCACGAATAAGAAACGATTTGTTAGCGGGTAAAATAGACCATAAATAATTCGCTATCAAGACTGCTCATTACTGCACACATTTCATCTCTGCTTTTGCTAGAGTCTGCCAAAAACGAAAATAAGATAATTGGTAATTAAAGCTGTTTTGTATATGCGGCGACGAACACTAGAACACGATCTCCCTTTCGCCTGTGTCATTTATTACGCGTTTGTGTCTCTCTTCAGAAATGAGAGACCGGACAGCTTCTGAGCTCTGCGTCGTCTGTAACCGTGATTTTGTTGTTGTCAAGTGTTATTCATTTGTATGCCGTACTCATAGATGATACAAGAATTTTTGTGTTTTCTTTCCTTGCTTTTACGTACGTTGAGCGCTTTGAATATGTCGCGTATTTTTAATTCTGTATCACATTCATTTTATCACTGGTGTGCGGACTGAAATGCTTCATATAATTCATACGTAAAAAAATGACCTCTTTCAGAGAACCGCTGTTCTACCCAGCGGAAAACAGCGAGTAACATCTGTGATTGTGAAGACGTACGAATTTTCCAGTCAGATTTTATGGCTCGTGTTTGTGATATCTTTGACTTCACCACGGAAAATAATATTGCGTGTATAAATAGTCTCTTAAATGCATCTTTAAATTTTTTTATGTGTGAAAATTTGGTTCCGAATGCAGGAGCACAAAGGGCCATAGGATGACTGCACTCAGATGTTCTCTGCCATGGCTCCACGCAAAACACCGCCTGTCGACGTCCTCTTACAACTCTCTTGACTTTATTTGCGATGTTCGGCGTCGTATTTTATCTGTTTCAGGCAGACCAGCCGATATTTCGCGGTGTTTTGTTTTTGACTTGCATGAACGGAGCCCACTTCGAAAAAAGTTATTAGTTCGGATTTACGACTCTGCAACTTACAGCGGACTAAGGAAATTTTATTTGTTTAATCACAAATATAAATGTGTCTTAGAGGACGTCACGTACTTTCTTCGGCCCGGATTATACAGCAGTCGTTTAAGACGAAAGGTCTCTTCGCTCCATGAGAGTCACACGTTAATTACATTTGACCTTACTTTTATGGTCACATTAGTTTCAAGTGCACGTTTGGTCAGTTTCTATAGAGCATTTATACTTTCAGTCTTGGGACTTTGAAATGCGCGAGTATTAATATTTAATTATAGTAATTACGTTACCGCGGCGGTCTCCAGTTTCTGTTTCGGTAACGGCAAAGCAAGACTTTCTTGAACGCTTGCCGGAACACCTTGTTGAATATGGTGTAAAAGATCGGGTTTACCATTGAACTTGCGTAGCCTAGCCACGTTACAAGGTCGAATACTCCGTGATCGATGTTCCGCTCGCAGTCCGCGCACACGGTGGGAACTAGGTTCAGCACAAAGAAGGGAGCCCAGAGGACCACAAACGTGAAAAATACCACTCCTAGAACTTTGGTCGCCTTCTGCTCCAGTCGGATGATCCTTCCGTGGCGCGAGGAGTTGCGAGAGATGACGCTGGAGTTGCGACTGTGGTGGCTCCGGATGGTCCCTGCCCTACTGACGATCGGGGTCGTGCTGGCAGCCCCCCTTCCCGAGCCGTAGCGCATCAGCAGGCAAGGCGTCGAAGTGTTTCCCGCCCTTATGGGCTTGCTTGGCTTGGTGGATATGCCGTTGTGGTGTCTCAGGGTGGCTGCCCGACGCAGCAGCGGCCCGCGGCTGTTCCCGTGGTGCTGTGACTGGCCCGAACAAGCGCTGTTCCCTGTCACTAGGATCGTTCTTACACTGTTGCCTCCTCCGAAACTGGATCCTCTGTGATGCATTCTTGAGGAGGTAGAGTTCGAATCCCAGGACACAACCACGCTGCTACCACACACATTGCTGTCTGTCGAAGGCGTTGCGCCAGAGGAGTGGCGTGCCAGGAGTATGTTGGCGAAGAGAGTGCCTCGCCTGCTGCCGGGGGAAGGAAGGTTCGAGCCACTTCCGCTGCACATGGAAGATGTCTCGACCCTCAGAGACGATTCCTCGGCCTCGGCTCTGTTCGTGGTCGAGGAGGATACGCAGAGATTCTGTTTCTTCAGATGTTCTTCTTCCCGTGCAGATACGATGACAAGCTCTGACTTTGGCGACGGAACTCTCTTGGTTTTGTCAGACGAAGCTTCGCCGAAGTAAGGACAAGTGCAAGGAGGCAAAGGAAATGAAACCGAGGACTTCTTCCGGACCGGCGTCAGTTGATTTCTTGTATCTGCTTCCTCGAATGCCGAATCGTTGTTGTGTTTGACTTTGTTCAGTGCACAGTCGGATTCTTGATCTTCAGGGTTAGAGCCTTTGGTCCGTTGGTGAATGTCCTTGATTGCAAGGTGGCTGCTCTGGTCGGAACCCGATTCTTCCGAGGCAGCGGATGACTCGCTGGCATTGCGTTTGCGTCGTCGCTCATCGTGAAAGCTTGAACCGCGTTTCCGTGTGGATTCTCGCCAGTTCTGGCACGGAGACAGCTCGCCATCGCGGACCGAGTCTTCCCGAAATGACAGCGTCTCGTGGAATGTGGAAGCCCGTCGACGCCTGGATATTCTGTGGCCCGCGTGTGGTGAGGAAGACACCGATGAGTTTTGCAGCTGCGGGTGCTGAAGTGATGACTGCGAACTGCCCAGGCTTTCCGGCGCACTGCTTCTCCCGCTGCAAGAAAATATTGCCTGTAGTTTGATCTCATGGCGTTCTTTCTTCGTACAATTTTACATCGCGAGCGTTGACGTGTTTTCAAATTTCAGACACTTTCCCACAACCAGTTGACGCCTTATTTGGCTCATATATATGCCTCTTTATCGGTAAGAATTGCGAATTTTAAATTGGCTAAGCTTATATATAGTATGCAGAACCTTAAATTTCCTTTAATGAAAGGTTTCATAGAAACATTCATATTTTATGATGAGTCTGATAGGATTTAGTGTGACGCTGTTACCATTCTCCCAGTTTGCGAATTAGGAAATCTTTCCCTCAGTATTGAAAGTTGCCCCTGACACGACATCGATCGAAATAATAAGCGACTCCCTTCCGCGATGTGCTTAGCGCGCATTAGAGTGTGACTCACCTGAGGGTCCTGTGAACCGGCGCACTGCTCCTGTCCTGTTCCATCGGCGACTTGCCCGGCGGCGGCGTTGAGAGGCCGATCCCCACGCTCTCAAGGCCACGTGACAGGCGTAGCATCTCAGCTCCGAAATGATGGAGTGCTGTCATCGTGGAGGGCGTAGGATCTGGAATGCTGGAGTCCGGAAGCCACAGCTCGTGTGTGTCTAATGTCGTGAGCTCCGTGTCCGTGGAGCCGGCCGAGTGCGCCAGGTGGCTGAGGTGCTGTGGCGTGGAGCACGACGTACCCCTCGACGGCTTCCCCCCGGCAGTCGACGGCAGCAGCAGTCTGCGCCAGGTGCACTTTCGTTCCATGCCTGTGCACGGGAACCGCGAGGAAGTGTTAGACCGTTTCTTATGTCTCTCTGAGACCGCTGCATTTCCGGCGACCATGGAATCCAACCAGCCCTTTGTTTACTAGGGCGTGAAGTTTGCGGAGCTAAGGATTGGCCGTGTCTCATTCTAAATTATATTATAGAAACAGCGAAAATGTTTCAAGGACTATGAGATACGGGGAGTGAACTCCACTTTTTCTGTTGCAGAAATTTATAGGTTAGTACCGTGCTCTTGCATGCAATACAGGCATAACACACATGGCTTACAAATTCTTAATTACCTTACATAAAATAAAATGTATTTTAGATCTCACAAACGAAATAAAATATGATAATACTGAGAGGGAAATTATTATGTGTAATATATATATATATATATATATATATATATCGAGGTTCTGTCACATAATCTCTTCATTTTCTGTAGGTTACCCGTGTAATTGTGCGAGAGAAATCCGCGCTGGTCCCAGTCCATATTTGGTTCAATGCGTATAACATAACAATTTCAGATCACCGGGGTTTGGGATAGCGTGTCCTAACAATCTACTAATATTATAATTTTAGAGCATTTGTTTAATCCCGTTTTGGTTAAATACCCTTTGACAGTGCGACTATTAATCTCAGAACCTGAAGATGGAGGTGAACTTCTACCAGACTGCACGACGGAGCAACACAAAAGATTCACCGCCTTAAAATCTCGAAAACTGTTGTAAATTTTCTCTCGAAGTTTCCCCGTTCCATTGTCTTTTCGTCCGGTTGGGTAAAGCGTAATCAGGTTCCTCTGCCGTGGGTTGTGAACATTTCGTCGTACCAGAGACAAGCTACCGAGAAGTTCTATTTCCTTCTCGGTTCTCCGAACTTGGTCGATGTATCGCCATTGTTTCGATTTGCCACTACCCTCATTTTATCTCCAATATTTGTATCGAAGAGTGTCACAAAATCGAAGTTAACTACTCGGACGCGCTAAAGGTTACTGGGTTGAATACCGGCTCATTACGTAATTGAAGGTAAGGCAAAACCTCGTTTATTACGCAAGTTACGAGTACATCTCCGCGTAACTTGCACACGACCTGTACTACACAGCCTTAGAAATCACTGTTCATTAAATTAGGCCTCCGATGTGGTGAATCCGGACGCATTTTGCATTAAGAAGTGTTTCTATTAGTCAACTTCCTGGCGCTGGTAATTAGTTGCGGAGTCAAAGTGATTGTTATACGTAGAAGCCGGGTTGCTGAGTCTTGGGTGGGTGGGAGGCTTAGTCTGGAAAACCACGGCACTGCCTGGTTTTTCCCTCGTCCTCGACGTCCATTAATCATTTTCTTGAATGGAAAACCCGAGCCTTGATTGAACTTAATTTTTCATTCTTTCTTTCGTCGTCGTTCTAGAAGTAATTTACGTTTATCGTAGATCATAACGAATTGAGAAGCAAGGAACGTCCGTGGAAACTTCTCTCTGGATGACGTCGCCGTGCACTCGGCAGGCACCGTGGACCAGCGTCATTAAACTGTACACTGCCTCGTCGCGGTCGTGTCGGAGACAAATCAACCCCCGAAACACGATTAATTGGCGCTGACACCGGGGGTTAATCATTGTTACGGATTATTATTATTAATCCCAGGGCTGATTATGGCCTGTTTGTCGAAGTGGCAAGGGTGTCCAGAGGAGTGTTGTCGTCAACTTTGAATCTCCGCCAAGCAGACGCCTCGTATTTCGCGCTTTTCCTCGGTCACAACGAAGCTTTGTGTGTCCACGTCTCAAACGTTCCTGGTAATTTAAACTTCCCTTTTGAACACGAGAAGTCGTGTATTTGATCGACGAACATAAAATTCTTTTTTTGGGTTTTGTATTATCCGCGAATTTTGTGAACGGTTTTAGACTCAGTGCTAGAAATAGTTGTTTCGTTGCCTGTTTGGAAAAGGGAGTTAAAGAGTTTGCCTCCGGGAGGTGTGTTCGATACCTAGAGAGGGCGTTCCTGGGCCCAGCCAGCCGCTCGACCACCCGGCGCCACCTCCTCCCAGGTTCTGCTCCTGGACAGCCAACAACCTGACTGTTAGTGCGTAGGTAAGCAGCATGACTCCGAGAGGGATGTAGAAGCAGACGATAGAACCGATGAGCTTGTACAGCGGGTCAGGGATCTGGCAGGTTCCTTCCACCAGCACCGAGTCGTGATCCTGCAATTGAATTTACAGAATGACATTTGAAACGCTTGTTGTTTTGTTAGGAATGCTGTCTTCAGGTGCTGGAATGCGACAGCAAACAGTGGAAAATGTTTCCTTCAAGAACCCCTTTCATCCCCCCAAAATAATAAAGGGTGGCCCTGATGTACCCCTTTCATCCTTTGTGTGGTTCAGTTTCTCATTTAATTTGAGTTTGCTGTGAAATGTTCAACAAATCAGTTATCGTTCCTGAGCAGCCTGAAACAAAAGTTTTCTCACAAAGGTTTTCATGTTAACGCATGGACTGGACTGTACGCGATACTATTTTTCACCCCCTGAAGACATGCAACGCCGTGAGTTGGGACTTTATTTTTTGAAGAAATTAATTTCGGGGAGAGAAGAATTGGTCACACTTCAGATGTGCTGTAGTCTCTTGGGGGCCTTGGCCTGAAAAGCCTATTTTTATAAACCGAGGGTGACGTGAGAGGGTAGCAATATTTGCAGTCACGTGCCACGTCTCTTGCATGACTTCCAGTTTCTGTAAATGTACGGGTTCAATTTGTGAAAGGGCGGCAGTGTTACGGTCTATTATAAACGTGTGTGTTCAGGACGTGAAGTTGAAATGTTTTCTAGAACTCCGTAATTTTGTAACTGTGAGAACACGGGGTGAGCTTTAAATGCGTACGATATTGTGAGCGAGCAGCCGCTAGGCTTTACAACAGCGCGAATTGAAATCTCAGTACTAAATGCTCCATGACTGTTGGCGAGAGGTTGGCCCATTGTACTTTATCAGGGCAGATACGTCACAGAAATTGCATTTATTTAATAGCGTTTTGTAGTTAAACAATCTGCGCTGTTGTTTATGGCAGCTCATGTGATCGCATTCAGGGGTTTTGCTTGCAATGCGTGGCGTTGAGCTCCTATGACTCTGTACAAATGCCAGTAATGATCTGTTGTGTATTTTGTGAGACATTTTTTAAAGATCTTAACGCGTGGTTTAAAGTTGTGGATTGTAAGTTTTGAAAATATACAGAGATTAAGCCTGAATATCTGTCCTATTTTTATTTCTGAACTGTACGTTTTGTTCATTGCTTTCCGAAACGTAGAATTGTTCTCAACATTCGACACCGCTGATGTCACAGACGGACAGACAGACAGACAGGCGCGTAACAGTCCGTACGCGTGTTCGCTACCAGCGAAATTCGCCTCTCATTCCGTTCCAAATATCACTTCAAGGACTGCGATTAGAGCAGTTTCTGACACTGGGATGCGGGACGTGGGAATCCGTTGTTCCAGGACCAGCGCCGGAACAAGGAATTTGTTCGCCCTGGGCGGCAGTCGATACACAAAGAGGATTCTCGAAGCCCGTTCAACGTCACTGTTGTGTGTCCGCGATGGTGTTTTGCTGACCGCCCTGGGCTTTGAGCCTTCACTGACAACAGATTCCTGGGTGCCATAGAAAGCGGAATTTGTGGTATTAAAATGTGTTGAAAAAGACCCCCCCCCTCCCCCCGAATTGTTTCCTCGGCGGGGGTCTGTGGCTTGCCTGTGCATAGACGCGGCCTTGTCCAGGACGAACGAGGCTGTAGGGAACATTTAGAAAGTGTAATGACGGACGCGCGTTGAGGTTTAGATTCTAAAATTTAACACACTAAGACAAATTTACCTCGAGGTAGGTCACATGTCTCAGTCGTAAAACTGTTTTTTTTTTTGGTAATATTTTTGAAAATTAAGTTCTCCGCTTTATTTTTTAGGAATTTTCCTTATTTTAATTTAAATTTGTGAGATTCGAGCGATGATGATCTTCGGGGCTGCGACACCGAGTGTTTTCGCAGGTTGGTACCGCCGAGTCCACTCTCTGTGACACGCAGCCCGAAGGACATTGTTACTTTAAACGTGTCTCTCAAAACAGGTAATTGTGTCTGCGATTAACTTTTGTGGAAGACGGAAAAGAAATGTTATCAGCCAACATTTGTGTTTACCACATTTCGTTAAATGTCGTTTAATGCGTACGATTACCTACGTCTTTTGTGCATAAATTAGTAATAATTGTCACGGTAACTTTGTTAAGGGATTCTTTGGCCATACTACAGCGGCAATTTTTTACGTATTTGTAAGAGTTGTCAGGAGCCACAGTTTTTAAGTTTATTATTGTCATACGTAAACAAAATTTTTTGAAATGGAAACCTTGCAGACATTCGACCGGTTCACAGTTTGACGTTATTTCTAAATAATATGCCGATTCCTATCTGTTCCCAGTAGTTGTTGTATATTTAATATTCAGTCTTCTGATTGACAATTTTGAGATTCTGGGACCTGCGTTGGTGAAAATGTTGGCTTCAGTTTTCAGTTTGTTCGGGCACTGTGCTCATATAAGGGCTGACCCCTTATTTATAAGGACTCGGGTACCGTGATATCGGAGATCACCTGTTGAACCCCTGAGGTCGCAGTCAGAAAAAAGTTCGCAACTTATTGAAGGTGCACGGCCGCAGATGGGATAAATTATGGGGGCACGTGACCTGCGTCGTGCTAGGGTGGTTTGACACCCGACACCTTCTCTCTCACCTACTGTAAATCCATAAAAGGAGAGAGATGCAGAACGAGTCTGTGATTAAATTCAGGTTCAAGTTACCTGAGAGTACATGAGGCACAGCGGGAGACTCATAGCCACGGAGAGGAACCACACGAAGACGATCTTGAGGGTGACTCTCTTCCTGGTTTTGTTGCGTCCGAACTTCATCGGGTAGCGAAGGCTGAGGTATCGGTCCACGCTGATGGTGCACAGGTGCATGATGGAGGCTGTGCAGAACAGCACGTCCAGACAGATCCACGCCAGGCAGTAGATCGACGGCAGCGGGAAGAAGCCTGTTTCGAAGAGACAGCTTGGTGTTAGCCTGGGACGCTTACGAAAAAGAGGATGGTGGGCCCTTTTTAAAAGAGGAGAGAGCGATTCGATATATTCACGGTAGTGAACATTTGCGTTGTTGTACCAATAAAAAAACTCTTTGTCGAAACGTCTTTCAACTTTCCTTACAGAACAAAAGCTTTTCGACTTTATCCGCTCTGTTTGGTTGTCGGGTCTGGAGGGTGTTGTTGGGCACTGTCCAAGCAGCAGATGAGACTCAACTGTACATGTACAAATGACTCTCGCTTAAGCCTTAATCGCAGTTTGTGTCAACATTTATTGCAGTGTGGTAAGTCTAACGCAGGAGGAGGGTAGAAGTGGAATGAGATCGTGCGGGCGCCCTGAAAGGAAGCAGCCCGTAGTGCGTGTTCCTCGCTTTTAGATTGCAGGCCGGAAAACAGAAATTTCGCCTAGCAGTGGTTAGCACTCTTGTTTTGTAGTCTAGAGGTACCAGAAATTAGGCCAGGACCGCTTTCTTCCACGCCCTTTCAAATTCATTGCTCATTACTCATCACCCCACCACTGGACGCTGTACAGTCTGAGCTGTTGACAGCAACATTGTATTGACCGAGCAGCGTGAGAAGCTAATGCGACGTTTTGCTTGCTTGTTGTGTAGTGGGGGAATGACGGAAGGCGCTTTTGTTGGTGGTAGATGGACTGTCCACTCATATTTGTTCTTGTACTTGGATCTGAAAAGAGGATTATTCTGTATAAGCCTCAGTTGCCTCAGTCTTTTTTCGGAATTAGCCGTTTAATTTTGGTTAGTGAACGTACAACAGATTTTTGAAGCCTGGTTTCAGTACAGTCATTTTCGCACTTTGCGTGTGTGCGTTTACAGTTGTTACGATTCATTGTTTTGGACAGTACCCGCAAATTCTAAGTGTCTTTATGGATATGTTCTTTTCAGTGGGTGTTCCGGGCACAGGTCTCGCGTGTTCGTCTGTGCGCCATGACATCGGGATATCGAACAGACTTTGTAATCTCTGAATG